GGTCAGCACGCGTTGCCTTCAGTTTTTAGCCCACCCGAAAAAAAAAAAAAAAAGTCAGGGGTTATTTTTCCTACCTATCAACAGTCTGCTAAACATACACAGAAGCAGTAGCAGGGCGTGCTGCATAAGTGATTGGCTTCCCACCAGTAACTTCCCATTAGTAACTCCTGCAAGCCAATGGTCCTGAATGAAAGCCAGCTGTATTTGTTTCTTTGTAAAAAAAAAAAAATTGTTTTAGGAATTGCATACTAGCTACCTCCAGAATCCATGTACCAAGCCAAGAATGAGAGTTCAGACAAAAGACACTGTAATGCAAATAACAGACAAAACAAAGGACAAAATCAAAGATAAAAACTTATAGTAACACAGATATGCACAATGCCAGATGACAAATACACATACATTAATATGATTTCTTAACTGGAAAATACAGATGTGTACATCTAAAAATAATTGAAATGCTATATCATCAGAGCTATGCGTGGATGCTAGGGCACAAACTCAGAAAAATAAACTACTGTTATAAATCAGTTTGTGTTTAAAATCCTAATTAAGACCAGATGTCTTGCTGAGGGACCTAGAAATTATCCTCAGCTGCCCCCATCTGTCCATGCATATTCACATACATACAACACACACCTCCTCACTTAGACTTACAGTGCAGATGCAGAAGGAACTGTTCTTTATTTTGTACACAATGCTTAACTCCTATATATTGCATTCAGGACCGGATTAAGAGCATCACAGGCCTGGTGCTGAGGATTTTGGTAGGCCTTTTTATGGAAATGGCGACAGTCACCGGGGGCCTCTTCCTTCTGTCTGGGCTTTGACTTGTAGTCTCTCTACAGCTTATAGTCAGTGGTGGAGCGCCTGGGCCCCGTTGTAGCTGTGACCCTGGTAGATCTGCCACTGACTCCAAGCTGTAGAGGGACTACAAATCTTAGCAATACATTATACAGTAATGCAGAATTCCACCAACTATAGAGGACTACAAATCCCAGTAATACATTATACAGAAATGCAGAATAGCACCAGCTATAGAGGACTATAAATCTCAGCAATAAATTATACAGCAATGCGGAATACCATTAGCTATAGAGAACTACAAATCCCAGCATAACATTTTAAAGCAATGCAGAATGGCACCAGCTATAGAGGACTACAAATCCCAGCAATACATTATAAAACACTGCAGAATAATTCCATAAGCTATGGAGGACTACAAATCCCAGCAATATATTGTAAAGCACTGCAGAATGAAACTATCCGCTATAAGGGGCCACAAATCCCAGCAATACATTGTAAAGCACTGCAGAATATTACTATCAGCTATAGAGGACTACAAATACCAGCAATACTTTTTACAGCAATGCAGAATAATATGAAGCTACATACTCTGTCTTGCTCCGGTTTCGCGGCCTGATGTTTCCAGGGTCTCAGGAGAGCTGTGCAGGGTTTAGGGGCGCTGTGCAGGCTCTCAGGAGGCTGTTCAGGTTCTTAGGTGGCCAGTGCGGGCTCTCAGGCGGTCATTTTGGGTTCTCAGGTGGTCAGTGTGGGCTCCAGGTGGTCAGTGTGGGCTCCAGGGGGAGTATTGGCTCTCAGGTGGTCATTATGGCTCTCAGGTGATCAGTATGGACTCCAGGTGGTCAGTATGGACTCTCAGGTGATCATTGCGGGCTCTAGGTGGTCAGTAGGGGCTTCAGGTGGTCAGTGTGGGCTCCAGGTGGACAGTGTGTGCTCCAGGTGGCCACTGCAGGGCTCCAGTTGGTCAGTGCGAGCTCCAGGTGGTCAGTGCGGGCTCCAGGAGGTCAGTGCAGGCTCCAGGCATCAGTGCGAGCTCCAGGTGGCCAGTGCGAGCTCCAGGAGGTCAGTGCAGGGTCCAGGGGGTCAGTGAGACTGGCTGCTGTGGCTGCAGCAAACGCGCCGCTCTGCTCATGCATATCAGAGGGCCCTCTGATATGCCGGAAAAGAGGGCCACTGCTGGTCGCGACTCAGTGTGGCTCCGGACTGCTTTATATAAAGCAGTTGTACACATATGAAATGAACTATTGGTACTCATCTCTTTGTTGGGTAAAGAAGAAATATAGGGTGACTATTGCAACAAGACATCAATGCCCATATCATAACAGTAATGTTACAGGCAAAGCTCACCTCACATGTGGACTGTACAACCTCTTATAGATCCACCTATCTAGATCTGATTGGGTACAAATTGATTGGATTGTTTAGAAAGTCCTCATATTACATAGATTTGTAAGGCTGACAATACATGTTACAATCTGATCGTACAGTCTTTGTACAATAACCTTTAGATATACCAAATCTATGTACCAGGACCAACCTGAACTACCCAATCAATTTCTATTCAATTAGACAGGGCATTGCACTACATACTTGTTAGTAGATCGGAAGGGGATCGTACATTTAAGCCCCATTCACACCTATATTTTAGGTGAAAATAGGCATTCCTGTGTCAGGAACTTGTGATTTCCTGCAGCAGGAATCCCTAATCTGCTGTTTACAAGTGGCAGGTGTTACCCATTCAAGTTAATGATCTGGTGACAGCCGCTGCATTTGAACGCAGACACAGTGCACATAATTGTATTTATTTTTCTTATTACAGATCTGCTGACCCTACTTTCTTTTCCTAGTTACATGATTTCATGTAGGTTGCATAGTACTTTATATGCTGTGCAGATTATACAGGCCCAAATTTCTGCATAACCAACATAGTCTGTGGCCTAGTAAGATAATGCTGATAGTTGTGGCACAAAGCCACCCACAAACCATGTTGCCGACTGACTTTTAGTGCTAGGTGTGCTAACACAGAGTAGACAAACTGTCTTTTTCAGCCTTTCTCTGCGGTTAGCGTGGCACTAAGACTAGCCAAGTGTTGAGGGAGGCATACGTCAGCTGGCCTAGGAGTGAAGGATGTATAGAGTGAAAGAAGTACAAATCTAGTGGCACATTCTTTTGTATTCCTAGTTAATCAAACAAAAAAATATATGTGCAAACTATATACAGTATATACCTAATGGTTGCAAAATGTTTTATGTTTCCCCACAGACTCGTTTGGAAAGGGGTGAAGGAGAATCCATTTTGTATTCCCCAACGTGGATGGTTTTAAAAAACAGAGAGACTTACCAAGTGAATTTGATCATTTCAGAGTCTCAGCTGTCTTTAACACTAAACAACTTTACCAGCATCCTGGATCTTCCTTGGTCCTCACAAAAGTTGAACTTTGACCGTAGCATCTTCCTAGGTGGAACTGGTACAAGCAACATTCCATATCATTTGCAGACCATTCCTACTTTTTATGGATGCATCTTAGAGGCCAGATTTGACAACATTGACTTGCTTTCCAGTTCCTATCCTCAAGCAGAGCTCCATGGGCAATGGGAAGATTGCCCAATCAACTCACTGTCTAATTTAGCTGAATCCTTTGGATTTCTTGGGCCACGTTCATACATAATATTCCCTAACTGGGATATGAAATCAAAAGGATCAATTAGTCTGACTCTGGAGACATCAAGACCAGGACGTGCCCCACTAATCTACCAGTCTGGACCACAAAAATCCTACTTATACTTTGAAATTGCTGGTGGTCACTTACAGGGTACACTATATACAGGAAGGTCTGTAGTAAAAATTCAAAATATGGTTTATGTAAGTGACAGCCAGCCACATGATATCCACGTTTTTATAGATAAATCTAAAATGCAGCTCATTGTGGATACAACCACCTCTCAGGTCTCTCTTGATAATCTTGGACAAAAGTTAGATTTACAAGGAAATCTTTATCTTGGAGGAATAGATGAGATCTCACTGGCTAAGATAAGGGAAGGCCCTCTAGGTCGACTTTTTATAGATGATATGGAATACAGATCTTTTTCCGGCTGTGTCACAGATTTGAAGATAAATTCCATGAACAAAAGGCTTTATGACGCTTTGGTTAGAAGAGATATTACAAATGGCTGTCATGAGTATGATGACTATGCTGAATATGAGGTCACCACTCCATCCTTTTCCCCTGCCACCAGTGCAGTGTCCACTGTTATTAGCAATATTTTTGATATTTGCAAGATGGAATCCAGTAGTACTAAACTAACCTCTCTTCTTAACCCAAAGCCATTGTTAGTAACAAGAGGGGGCTTTTCCATTCTGGAATGGAGACATTTCCATCCCACAATTGACCTAAGAAAGTCTGGATTACGTCAGTCTCAGTTCCTTTTCAGTATAGTGAATGACACTCAAAAAGGACATTGGGAACTTGACATACCGGGTGCTGAATCTAGACGAAAATTTACGCTACTAGATGTTGCCAATCACAGAGTAAAATATGTTCATGATGGATCACAGTCACATGAAGACCACCTGATTTTGGAGGTTTCATTGGCCAGTAGTGTAAACATTCCAGAATGCCTGAAGAAGGCTCAACGTTACAATCTTACAATAAACATTTCCCCTTCTACAGCAATACCAGCTATTGAGTTTCCTAAGGGTAATATATTAGGAATTTTAAAAGGAGGTAGGAAAGTGCTAACAGGGGATATCAAGATCAATGACCCTGATACACCATGTGATCTTCTCAAGATTTATATTATGGGGAATTCTAAAGAAGGACATGTTGAATTTCAACACAAGCCTGGAAAAGCCATTCAAGAATTTTCATGCAAGGATTTAGAAGAAGGCCGAGTGGTATTTATCCATAAGTCTGGACAAGAGGCACAGCTAACACTACAGGCTACTGATGGAGCAACAAGAAGCTCCTTGGCATATGCTAGATTTATAGTGCTGGACCCTCAAAAGAACTTGACATCAAAAGCTGTGGTGGTATCAGAGGGATCATCTGTATTGATCACGCCTTCCAACCTTCCTGTATTGGCCAATTCAGATAAAATGGGAATAGAAACCATGTATAACTTAGTTGAAAACCCCAAACTAGGAGTTATACAGAAACTGGTGGCTGGAGAAGAATGGAAAGCCACAGACACTTTTAAACAGAGTGACTTAGAGAAAGCAGGAGTGAGGTACCTCAGCACAGTTTCAGATATTATGGGTGATGAAATGAGTGAAAATCTGAACATTCAGCTAAGGCTTGGATCACAATTAATGAGTAATCAGACATTGCAAGTCAAGGTAAAACGGTCAGGTATAAAAATGATGAGGATGATCCCTTTGAAGCTAGGAAAAACACGGGAAATTATTCTATCGCATAAGCACTTACAGGTAGACACAATAATGCAAGGTCATGAATTGGCATTATTCACATACTTAATTGTTCAGTCTCCCAAGAAGGGAAATCTACAGTTTGATGGTAGGCGACTCATTGAAGGCTCAAGATTTTCCCAAGAAGACCTAGTGAAGGAGCGCATCAGTTACATAGCTACAGTACGTAATACAAAAGATACTGAAGACCAGTTTCAGTTCCAGGTCTTGTATCATGGTAAGGCTTCCACAGTGTACACATACAAGTTTCTGATTGGTGCAGATCCAGATGCTCCTCTACTTATTAATCAAATATTACATGTGTTGGAAGGGGGGCAGGAGGCAATAACCTCAGACCAACTTTTTTTAAAAAGTGGTAGCTTTGTTGATTTTGTTTATGAAGTAATTGATGGGCCCCAACATGGAACATTAATAAGGAAAGGAAGTCCACAGTCTGGTGATCCTATAGAAGAAGGAATATCAGAATTTACCAATGATGACATCCTTGATGGCTTAATTTTTTACCAGCATGATGGCTCTGAAACTACTGAAGATGATATACCATTTGTAGCGTCACGGCAGCCAGATGGCAGTGCCTCTGATACGAGTGGAGAAGAAGAGTATGAAGATCAGGAGGTGGTGAGAGGTGTCTTCCGTATGTCTATTCAACCTGTTAATGACAACCCACCTTTACAAATAGTGCAGAAAGTTTTCACTGTAGTCCGCGATGGACAGAAATTGCTAACTACAAATGATATTGCATTCTTAGATCCAGACTCAGGATCAACAGATGCACAAATAGTGCTAGTTCGATACGGAGTTCCCTTTGGAAGAATTGTCTTTGTGGATAACCCATCACTTGTTGTTGTCAGATTCACACAGGAGGACCTCCGAAGACACAGAATTCTGTTTATACATAGTGGACCAGACCAGGGTTCTATACAGTTAAGAGTGTCTGATGGGCTTCACCATCTTACCACTATTTTAGAAGTGCAAGCGTCTGAACCTTACATTCTTATTTCTAATATCACCACCTTAAATGTGCTTCCTGGTGGCAAAGAGACACTGTCTGCCACAAATTTTAAACTGGAGACCAACTTAGATCTACGTACAGAAGATGAAATCAAATACTATATCAGTACTAAACCACGATGGGGAGAAGTTTTAAAAGGGGGGCAACCCACAGATTATTTTTCACAACAAGACTTGGCAGATGGACTTGTAGCTTATCAACACAGCAAAGAAGGAAGTAACAGGGATCATTTCCGGATTTCTGTTGAAGCTAATCAGGTGGTGGCTGTGGGTGACATCAAGGTGCAAGTACTCACTGATTCTCCACCGGTGACTCTGAATGTTATCCATAATGAGAAGGTGTATGTCTTTCAGGGAGAATCTGCAAAGATTAATAAGGAGTATCTTATGGTGAGTTTTTTTTTATACTGGATATTTGAGCTCCATATGCTAGTCAGGGTATAGCACACATAAAGCAACAAACATGAAGCTAAATTGTTAAAGAACAACTATGGGTAAAAATTTGTATTAACCCTTATAGTGGGGCTACCCCCACACTGCAAGTGTTTGCTTTTGCCTAGGGTCAGAAATCGCAAAGTTACACTTACCCAAACCTCTGAGACAGCCAGCTGGGACAGCACCCCCTCCTGCTTGTCTCCTTCTCTGCTGCAGTGATGGTATGCCTCTCGGCATCCTCATGTTCTATACACTGTGTATAAAATGTGATGACTCAGGGACCTTAGACCACTGCGGCGGAGGGGGAGAGAGGCTACAAGGACTGGTCTAAGAGCAAGCCGACTTGGAGGATCAGGTGAATGTAACTTTTCAATTTTTGACCCTAGACAAAAACGAGCACTGAACCCTTGCAGGGGGTAGCCCCATTGCAAGGGTTGATAAAACATTTACCCAAAAATCTGCTTTAATGGTTCTTTTTATAAGTCCAACTTCTTGCTCAACTAGGCAAACTTTTGCAGTCAAGTGAAAAGATCCAGCCGCGCATCGATGACGTGTTTTACCCATAAAAGGCTCATCTGTATGGCTAAGCCCATTACAGGTGAAATGTGTCAGTGAAGGGAGGGCCGTGTACAGCTGGATCTTGTAGTTTTACTGTGAAACAAAGGAGCCACGACGGCTCTGTCAACACCCGTCCTTCTGTCTAAAGCCATGATGGAGCAGTGTTTTACCTCTGGCACAATATTTATCCTTTTACAGTTCTATGTGTAATAAATAGAAATATTATAATTTTTTTATCACTACACTGCCATGAAAAATATCCGTTTTGTATAAAATGTAGGTTCTGTCTTCCTACATCTCTTCCTAATTACGGACCACCATAAGTAAATATAGTCATCTCCCAAGGTAAAATGTTGCTAAAACCAAATATTACATTTTTCTACTTAATGTTTCTAATTATCTCTGCCCTGAATAAACAAAAAATTATAGAAATATAAATAATACATTCATAATAATAACTTTCTCCTCTAGCTAAAGGAATAGGGCTCTTAATTGTTTCCTTTGCTGTCCAAAACCCCCAAAAAAGCATTTTGGTTCGATAAACTTTAACTTTCATGTAGTGCATTTACATTTTATGTGAAATTAAAATGATTTTATGTCAGTTACTAAAATTACTATTGTAAATGACACTGTAATTTACAGGTCTCTGCAGACAGTGAATTCCCACACAAGATTGCATATAGTCTGACAGATCCCCCATCTTTTGGATATTTGGTCTCTAGCAGTGGGGAGCCGTCTTCTGATGGGTCACCAAGTTTGGACTCTGTACAGACTTTTACCCAGGAGGATATTAACAATGGAAAGATCCTGTATTTGCATTCAGCCTCAGAAATGATCCCGGACCGCATGACACTAGAGGTATCTGCAGGAGACACAACTGAAGAGATTGTCGTCCTTCTAGAAATTTTGCCCATCTATATACCAGTGGAAGCCAGTGATTTGATGGTAAAGGAGGGTGGGAAAACTGTTCTCTCCAGCAGCATACTACAGATTCACAGTGATTACTATCTCAGTCTCCATCTAGAATTTCTAGTGTTGGATGAACCGGTGAATGGACGTATTACTAACGCAGAGGGACGAGATCTAAAAAACTTCAGCTGGAATCAAGTGAGTTTTGAATTAAGTTTATATTAGTATTATAGCCCAATAAGCACCAGAAGATAAGCAGATTAAAAAAATGGTTCTTAAGGCCCATCCATACCTATACCCAACCTTTATTGTGCTGCATCGCATGGCCCATCAAATGAATAGCAATGCAATGCACCAGAGTATGGTACCGCACACTAGGTGTGCTATGCTATACTGTGCATTTAACGCAGCACTATGGTGTGGACAGGCCCAAAATGAAACATTGTTTTATTAAACAATCAACACAATACATAGCTTTGCAACATGTGCCTTTTTTATATATCGTTGTTGCACATGCTTTATCGGTATCAGTGCAGATACTGGGCATTTTAACGAGTACTCATAAACGTGAAAATGCCCTGATGCTAAGAGCTGATTCCCTCACTTAAACTTCTTTAATAGATTCCCCTGCCTAAGGTCCCACGCTTGCTGGGGACCTCATGGCAGCCTTGTGGGGACCTCATGGCGCCTATTTACAGTGCCGGTCCGGCCACACATCTCCTCCTTCCATGGTAAGACCCAGCACAGTTCTGGGGAGTCCCGCACCTGCTCGTACAGCCCTGGTGAGACCCACACCCGTCCGCACAGCCCTAGAGAGACCCACACCCTCCCACACAGCCCTGATTAGATCTGCACAGCCCTGGTGAGACCCTGCACAGAGCCCCGATGAGACCCTGCACACAGTTCTGGTGAGCAACACTGAGTATGTAGCTTCATATAATTCTGCGTTGCTGTATAATGTATGGCTGGGATTTGTAGTCCCTCTACAGCTTGGCATCAGTGGCAGAGCTACCAGGGTCGCAGCGGTTGCAGCTGTGTCTGGGCCCTGGTGCTCCACCACTGTCCTAAAATCATTAGTCTGTATTGTTTTAGAAAAACTGTCACATGACACTTATAAAGTATCAATAATTGGTATAAAAAATAGTCGAGGAAAAGTATCTGTACTCGGTCTTGAAAAAATGGTATCGGTGCATCCCTAATTGCTATACATGCCTTTTCCATATGCTACACATGTCTTTTTCCTATATTGTTTCTACGTGTGCCTTTTTCATATATCATTGGTACACGTGTCCTTTTCATATATGTGTGCTATACATGTATTTTCCATATGCCATTGCTACACATGCTTTTTCTTATATCATTACTACATATGCCTTTTTCATAGATCAATGCTATATGTGCCTTTTTGTAATGTCATTTGATTAAAAATGATCTTTCCATTTCAATCTGCAATCGAAAGCTATTTTTCAAACTGGCAAAAAAATTAAGATATCTTTATAAGTTTAGGGCATTCTGTACACAGTTTGTGTGGCTCCCAGAAATGTTATTTCCTGCTTAGCTCACTGACTTATTGCCTTTTCTAGTAGTTTTTCTCTTATTTCATATCTGGGACTGATCATGATAAGGACAGGCACAGGAAGGAGAAAGTGATCATAATGTATGGGTCAGTTTGCATAGAACAGGACCAGGAAGGAGTTTGTAATAAAGTTTGATACAATGTTTGCCAAATATATGTGACCTGGAGAACATAACAAAAGTGTGATTTCAGTTTGACAGATACATTATTAGCAGTAAATGTACAAAGCCATGTTTTTGATTGTATATTTTCAAAACATGCACTTAAATGACCATACATATTTTTTTCCTAGTTTAATCAAGGACAAGTATTGTATGAGCACAATGGCAGTGAAACCAAGAATGACAGCTTCACAATTATAGTCAATGCAGCAGATGTAAACCGCCAGAGCCAATCAATAACTATCAACGTAACTGTGAAATCTGTAAATGATGAGAAGCCACGCCTGATCACAAACACTGGCATGCAGGTAATCATCTGTGGAACATATTTTGTTGCAATTACTTATTATACATTGATCTTGTGATGAAACAACTATACCGGAGCAAAGCCATCTTCACACATATGTGTTATGGTTATGTGTTGTAAAATGTGCCTCACTACAGCACACAGAAATGCACAATAAGTGGTTTAGTGCATTTCACTGCCATTTGTTTTGAATATCACCCAACACACTTCGTCAGACACACGTAGCGCACATGCATTGCATTAAACCACAACACACAACCACAACGCATGGATGGGAACCATCCATGCATTGCAGTGCATTTTTAAAAAAGTGTCCGGTTTTGGATACGTTGTGATGTGCTGTAGTGTTGAGCCGAAGAGGTCCGAGTTCGGTTCGAATTCGAACTTTAGAACATCCAAAAAGTTTGAATTCGAACTCAAACTCAATGCAAGTCTATGGGGATAGAACTTTCAAAAAACAATTGTCCCCTTTAAGAGGGTGTGGCAGTGTAAGCCAAAGCCACGGTGTAGGATGGCGACTTTGGCACCCAGGACTCTCAGCAAAGGGGCTGAGAGGATCCAGAAAGTAAAGCATGTTATAAGGAAGAAGAAAGTAGAAAAATGGTACCTGCATGAATCTATAACCAGCCTTTTAGGCAGGGCGCACATTGGGAAGGCTTACAACAATACAAAACACAAAAAATCTACAGCTTCACCTGCCAGCCAGCCTGCAACCAAACAAGTAGCCCTGTCAACAGTATGCATTAAAATCAGAGGTTTTAGTTGCACAAACTTTTGGCCAAAAATATGTAGAAGCCACACCGCCGCGCCAAGGCACCTCTGCAAAGTGTGGTCCTAACTCTATGTGTCCGAGTCTCCAAGTGTGAGCATATTAATGCAGTCGATAAATTGCATTCAGGTGTACCTGGAGATAGCCAACTCCTCCTAATAAGGTGCTGGTATGCAATCTAGAATGCACGCTGGGACCCCAGTGCGTCCCCACAACCAAAAATAGTCAAACTAGAAAAAATGGTATGAATCTGCATGAATCTATAAGCAGCCTTTTAGGCAGGCCGCACATTGGGAAGGCTTACAACAATACAAAACACAAAAAATCCCCAGTGCATTCTAGATTGCTGGGCCCAACTGATTGGAAACTCTTCCCATGGAAGGAGGGGGCGAAGGGCAAAACTCACCTACCTCCAATGAGCTATTTCCTTTGGGGTGAAGTTTCTGATCATTAGGACACTTCTCAAACCGTTTCTTCACCTGTCACTTACTGGATTTTTACAATGAAAGACAGTGCTTGTTCGAGCTGGTCAATTGCATTAAATCGATACGCCAGTGCCAGTCCCTAGACTACCCTTAGAAGGACAAATACATGTACATATTGGACTTGAGGTAAAGACATTTTAGTTTTTAATAGAACATCTGTCAAGTGTTTATTGTTGTTTGTGTCCTCACTGGGGAGATTTTCCTGTCCCAGTGACATCAGGACAAGTAATGAGAGGTTGCAGGTGTTGCCAAGACAGGAATACACAAATAGCAATAACAACCTACAGAGATTCTAACCTTTAGCCACTTTAAAAAAAAAAAAAATTGTGTTGCCATCTCAGTACCCAATAAGCTTAAGCTGGACTTAAGGCTCGACTCACACATGTGCGTTTGGTCGTACGCGTGGACAAAAACGCACAATTTTTAATAGACGTGTTTTTACGCGCGTTTGTGGCTACAACCACAGTCAACACACATGGAAACCACCCAGAAAATCACACATGTACTTTTTGCTGCGTTTGTGTATACACGTACGAACGGGCAGGTGTGAACAACTGCCATAAGAATGTATAGCTTTTTTGTGCATTTCTGCATGTATCTATATGCTCATCTGTGAGCCAGGCCTTATTGACATAAATACCTCCTAGTACACTTCTAGCAAACCACCAAAAAGGCCACGGTTATAGCTAAAAAAAAAGATACATCTATTTTGAAGTCTAAACGATGTAGGAGTCTTGCCACAAAATACAGCCTGATCATACCGCTTCAAAGTATTTCCAGGGCCAGATTTGCTCTCTCTGCCGCCCCAATGCCAGGTTCCTCAATGGGCCCCCACGTATGCAGGCTGCATGCAAGTGATCACGGCGACATCGCTGAGATCACTTGTACAAAACAAGTGGCGGCTTCTCCGCTGTACATTTAGCCCTGCTTGCCCAAAGCAAGGCTAAATGGAGAAAGCAACTACCCGCCTGGTGCCCAGAACTGCATATCCTGGGCGTCGGAAGATAGGAATTCTACACCCCTGCTGCCCCTCTAGAACCTGCTGCCTCGAAGCCGGGCCTTGGTTGGCCTTGTGGGAAATCGAGCCTTGAGTATTGCTGTATATTGTCAGGCAGAATGGCAGCAAAATACCGCACTAAACATAGTACCATTTATTAACAAAGCCTCTCTGAAATGTAGCAGAACATTTTCAAGCTGTTTTATATTTTTTTAATTATTACCAATTATTTTTTTGAGTTTGCCTGGGTATTACCTTTTTCCATGCTACTCTGCCCTGCCGTCATTTTAATCATTCCTTCCTTAGTGTTCTTAATGTCAAAGTGCAGCAAAATGCTGGGCCAATCAGCAAACAGCTTTCCCTCTCCCCCCCCGGGGGACCTATATATATATGAGTGGAGATATATCCCAGTTATTGTTCCATTGATAGATTGCCACAAGGAAATAAAGTGCTGGCGTCTTTCTGATGAGGGTACAGCAACCAAAACACATTTATTTAGTATTGTGGAGAAGGATTAGAACAGCTCTCAAGTTTATATTGCTTCTTGCCCTGGTAATATATACAACCTCTCATTTCTTGCCCTCGTGTAACTGGTACAAGTGTGGGGAAATGCATGAACGCAGGTTAAGGTGGTGAAAATTTCTGTAGAGTGCACCTCCTGTGGATGTACGCCTCCCTCATACAACACCTTATCTAGGAAAAAGTTAACTATGTTAGTGGGTTGTTTTCCATGGATTGCTTAGTCCAGATTGATCTATAAATACACATGTAGTTCCTGAAATGAAACACTGGATGTCCTCATTGCTCCTCAAGTAAAGTCTCCAACTGGTAATTCAATGTTTTATTGGCCAAAAATTATACTCTGTTTCATTCCTAGCAACATCCCCATGTGATATGTACACAGCATCTCATTTGGCAGGAACCACACACAAAACACTTAAGAAGCACGGCTTAACCATTCACTGACTACACTTTCATAGGAAAAGTTTTTTTGTATGCCAGTTATCTTAAAGTGGACCTGAACTCAAAAAGTGAATTTCTGCTATGCAATAGGGAACATTTAAAAATGTCAACTGTGCCCAAACAATACCCTAAAAAATGTACCTTTTGTCTTGAATTCCATCCGAAAAGTAGCAACATATTTCCTGTTCCTGGTAAGTAAGAATGCCTAGGCATGCCTGTGCTCACAAACTTATACCTGTATATCTGCATTATGAGAAATCACACAGGGCCCCATAGCAAAATTTTGTATGGGGCCCTGTGATTTCTAGTTACGCCCACCTGATAACCCATAGACTTTATCTATAAAATATATATATTTTTTTAGTTTCACTTTTAAACTTCCCGCCGGCTCCGCCCCCCTGCGACGCGGCCGCTCGCAAGGGACGGAACCTGGAAGTCGGCAGCCGCCGAAGACACAGCGGGGATCGCAGACAAGGTAAGACCTGTACCCTGTATTCCCGAGTGTGGCTCGGGGTTAGCGCTTTGTTAACCCCGATCCACACTCGGGAATACCAATGGAAACGTGCGGCAAAACGCCCCAAAGAAGCTCCTGTACTTCTTTGGGCGTAGGGCGTTTTGCAGCGCGTTCCTGCTGTAAAACGCCCAGGTGGGAACCATGCCCATGGGCAATCATTGGTTTTCACATGTTGAACATTTTACAGCGTGTAGGAACGCGCTGTAAAACGCCCAGGTGTGAACCAGGCCTTATGCCTATGGACAGCTTTATTAGTTAGGCCTTGTTCACACCAAATGCTGAGCAGATCCGCTCAGGTTTCTGCACGCGCAGTGCAGTGGGTTGTGCCGCGTTTTTGCTGCGTTTTTGATGCGTTCAGGGTCGTTTTTGGTTAAAAAAAATTAAACATTTTTTTTAGTTTAAAATGGGCTTTCAGTGTGCTCCAGGCTATTTTGATGCGTTTTCATGCGTTCCAGAGCAGGTAAAATAGGGCCTGCTGCAGTTTTTTTTACCTGCTCTGGAACTGAACGCTGTGATGTGAACTGGAGCTAAAAATACCATTGGAATACATTGGACGCAGTTTTGCTCCGGTCTGTAACTGCTCTGCTCTGCACCTGCTCCGCGCTTGGTGTGAACAAGGCCTTAGCCAGTCAAATTGATTGATCAGTCTTTGATTGGCAGCAAATTGATGCTGAAAGGGTGTCATTATTACTGTATAAATACCACAGCTTAGCCCACAGTGTATTCAATCATTGCACAACCTATTATTGCACCGGTGAGAGCTGGAAGGTTGCCTGAAGCTGGCTACACATCTGAACGTACATTGTTCTTTAGCTGTACAAAGTTCTATGTAGTACTGCTGTATTTCAACTTCCCCTACAATTTATTACTATTATTATCATCATACAGGATTTAAGCATTGTTAGCACCTTCTTACTAAAAGCAGAATTTACTTGATGTACTCAATAAACACATGTTATTAAACCTGTTATTACTCTGTAAATGTGGGGAATGATAAAATAAGGATATGAATTTAAACATGTCATTACCCTCATCTGCACTAGAGGTCTCCTGTTCTCACTGTGTGTAGATTGCTTACTTCCCTTTAAACTCCCACATGACAGGGAAGACAGGAAAGGTAAACTCTGCTGCAAGGGATTTCCCACAGAGGAAGAGTTCACAGGCCTCAAAGTCCATGGAAGATATTTTTACTTCATGTTTAGTTTTATTTTCAGGTGTCTTACCTGTCAAATAGCCATAACAAAAACAAAATCACAATGCAAAAGTATCAGAA